ATTTAAACTGGAAAAAGGAGGGAGATCAAGCATGGTGGCCGGAGATGACTTCCGGTCATCTTCTCCGGCGGTCCCAAAGTTGCAGGTCACGGAATCCTCATTAAAGCTCAAGAAACTTATGTCATTCTCTCTATTTTTCCATGCTGATTTCAAATATGACCTTCAAATCTCCTAATTCCTTATAGATTTTGAAACACGATGGAGATCTTAAAATGAACATAATTCTGAAATCTCACCAAACCTTAATCTAAAACCACAGATATGTTCTTCACACTTCATAGATCATCTTAAACCATTTATATCATGTTGAATCCTCAAGATCAGGCCAAACCAACTCCAAACAGAAATCATACATTAACCTAATTTGTCTCTAAACCTTCAATCCGTGATCCAAAATCCATCTAAACAACTTCCTAAAGCCTAACCACATGCTAACATATGCTAAATCAACATGAATCTTCAACAATTTTGAAAACTACATACCTGTGTTAGAGCTTCAAATTAGAGCAGTTGGAACACGATTCTCAACTTCAAACTGTGCAGATCTACTCAAGGAAGTACACTGAAGATGTTTCAATCCTTAATTTGCTTTGATTTGCTCTGAAAATGAAATCATGATTTCCACTTTCTCTCTTGAAACTCAACTTGCAAACTCTGGTTCTGGCACGAAATGATCTCCAAAATTATTCTGAATCAAACATGGAACTTATATAGGAGAGGTTTGTGGGCTTTGAAGGTCCAATAGAGGCCCAAATCAGAATACCCAATTTTCAAATTTCCTCCAAAACTTCAACAATGGTATCCACGAATTTGCACTCAAATCTTCCCTTGGAAGCTTCAAATCTATTCCTTGTGGTTTGTGGAAAGTGTAGAGAGTGATTAGAGAGCTTGAACTCCTCTCATGACCAAGTTATGATATGTTACTTATTTGTGAAGTTACAAGTTAAACCACCATGAAATAAGCCTCAAGTGAAAATTCTAATAATGCCAAAGTGCTTAGAATGATTTTTATGATTAAAATGAGTACTCACTTGGCCTTGTTTGAACACAAATGAATTAATCTTGAATTTTTCACTTAAATGCCTTTAAATCCTTCTTTTTGCCAAATTTCTCAAACCAAGTCTCACCCTAAGCCAAATCAATTCATTATGAGGACATGGTTGACCTAAAAACATCATTTTGAGCAAGTTTTGTGTTGAAAAAAACTTCATTGGAAGCTTGCAAGATAGTGAAAATGACCTATAATGCCAAGTGACCTATAATCTTACTTTCCCAAAATACCCCTAACTTGTAAACATCATAACTTGAGTTCTACAAATCAGATGGAAGACTTCTAATACAATTTGGAAAGCTAAGATCAAGACCAACAACTTTCATGTTGGCCAAAAGTTTAGGAGAAACACCCTTCTAGGTAAAAAGTTCCTTGGAAGTTGGTGAACTTTCACCGACAAATTTCACATTCCTCAAATGACCTGTAACTTGTCTGGACTATAACTTGAGTTCTATAAATCCAATGGAGGACTTCTAGTACTCAAATTAAATCTAAGAGAATTCTCTACAAGTTTCATGTTGGCAAAAAGTAGAGATGAAACTTTTATCTTGAGATAAGTGGTCTTGAAGTTAGGCACTAAATAGGGGATTTTACCCTGAGAACCCTAGTTTAGCAACTCCTCACACTTTGAACTTTTCTTGGATTGATCTTGGGACATCACTTCATGTATCTCAACACAACTATCCATGATCACAAATACTTAGAATTGGGCTTTGACCCTCTTCAATTGCACAGTTGACTTAGGGCTACCCAGATGAAAACCCTAATTGCAACACCCTCAACTGTGGCTCTTCACACTTGGCATAATGACTTGATTGAGCTCCACCATGACCCTCAAGGCCCTCTATAAGCTCTATCCACACACTCGCTCCTTGATCAAGGCTCCACAACCCCCTGATGGTCTTCAATTGGTCCTTAGATTAGGAGATTAACCACATACAAACAACTGAACCTCTCAAGAACCCAACTCTCTTCCTGATGACTTTGGTGACTTCTCAAGCTTGTATAAGACCTCTAGAAAGGCTCCTCTTGATATAAACCACACTTGATCCCCTGCACAAATGAACAATGCTATGTTATGCAAATGTTAGATCAATGATATGTCCATGCAATGAAACATAAACCAAGTAAGAAAAGGTTAAGCAAATTTTGGGGTGCAACAACATTAAGCATTTAACATTCTATTCCTTAATATCAAAAAGTCTGATTTTGTAAATGTTGTTTTTCCTCTTTTCACTAAAAAGGATTGAGCCATCCTTCTGACTAACAGCCTTACAAGATTTTTGATTAAAAATGATATCATAACCATTGTCACTAAGGTCGTTAATTGACAATAAGTTATGCACCAAACCATCGACCAGAAGAACATTAGTAATAGAAGGAATTTTACCATTACCAACAGTTCTAGAGCCAGTGATTTTACCCTTCTAGTTTCCTCTGAAACCGATGAAGCCTCCAGGCTTAAGTTCCAGACTTTGGAACATATGCCTTCTTCCTGTCATGTGTCGCGAGCAACCACTATTCAGGTACCATGATTGGTGTTTCAACTGAGCTGCTAAGGATATCTGCAACATATATTATCTTATCCTTAGGTACCCATTTTTTGGGTAATCTTTTGTTAGTTTTCTCAGAGTATTTAATAACCTTGGGTATATGTGCAACATGATAATCAAGTGGAATTTGTGCACGATACTTAGGTTTAGAAATAGATTTTTGTGTCGGTGAAGGTGCTTTCACAAGCTCAGAACGATCAAGCTTAGTATCAGAAGGCACGAGATGATCATAGAGAAGTTTTGGTTTTACAGGTTGACTTTCGTCATTTTCAAATGTTTCTGTACACCCCAAACCTTTCTTGTCATTTCTGCTAACTCCATAGATCCTGGAAGCAATCTTACTTCTATATATGCTTTTAGCCAGAAAGTGTTGAAATGCTCTATCATACTTGTTGACACAGTTAGTGTCAAAGATGTTTGAGACTAATTCTTCTTCTAGTTTAGAAACTTTGCTTTTCAAGACACAGTTACTATTTTTTAAATAAAAAACATTTTCATTCAAAGAAGAATTATTCTGTCCAAGCTTATCTCTGACTTCAGAAGTAATTACATGGGATTTTTTAAGATCTATGTATTTACTTTGAAGAGTTTGATATCTTTCCAACATTTCTGAAAGACACGACTCTAATTCACAACGAGAGTGTTTAGATAATACCTCTGATTCTGATAGCATTTTGTATTCTAGTTCTCTAGAGACTTCACGTTAATTATTGTTGCCACTAGTGCAATATTTGTCTGTTCTTCATCAGATTCTTCTTCTTCAGAATCAGAGTCGTCCCAAGTTGCCATGAGTCCCTTCTTGACTTTGGTGAAGTTCTTCTTAGGCTTCTTGTGTTTCTTAAACTTTGGACAATCGTTTTTGTAATGACCTGACTCATTACACTCATAGTAGATGACTTCTTTTCTAGAACTCTGCTTCTTCTGTCTAGATGATGAGTCAGCACGACTTTTGTTTCTTCTTGATCCTCTAAACTTCCCTTGCCTATGTTTCCAGAGTTTGTTGATCCTTCTAGAGATAAGTGATAACTCATCTTCTGAGTCTTCGTCAGAATCTTCTGATTCTTCCTTAGCTTGATAAGCCTTTGCCTTTTTAGGGTTAGACTTAAGAGCAATAGACTTATTCTTCTTTTGAGGTTCATCTTCCTCCATCTCAATCTCATGATTTCTTAAAGAACTAACAAGTTCTTCAAGACTTATACTATTCAGATCATTGGAAAGTTTAAGAGCGATTACCATAGGTCTCCATTTCTTGGGAAGGCTTCTGATGATCTTTTTGACATGATCAGCAGTTAAGTATCCTTTGTCCAGAACTTTAAGTTACTGAAGACTCTGAGCAGTTACCATAGGTATCTTTTTGACATATTGTCTTCTCGGAATCTATCTGAATGTGAGTAGATCAGAAGTAGAATTGCTTCTTATAGCGCAGAAGCGACTTTGATCAGATCAGAGTGACGTTGCACATGGTTTCTATCAGAGCCAGAGCTTTCTCTATCAGAGTCATAACCTATTTGTTAATTCTTCAGAAAAACAAACGTTAGAGTACTAAAATTGTTCTCACACAAATACTACTTTATTATCATCAAAACTTAAAGATATTTGACAGAACCAAATCTTGTTCTAACAAAAACCCCTCTAAATTAATTTTAGTCACCAGATAATCAAACATATATTAAATCATTTCCGAGTCATCAATTGGTTATTGTTATAAGATAGTGATACAATATAAAGTAAAATAAAAAAGATAGGATATTTTAAAAAGTGGGTGTTATGCAACCACTACCACACTTAATGCCAATAATTAAAAACAATGTTGTGTATCAAATTTCTCAAAGCGAGGGGTGTAGTTGAAACACAAAAACGATCCTAAAAATAAATATCAAAATGTCCTAAGATGTCAACACATGGAAAGAAAAATAGAACCTCAACTTGGACTCAAAAGGAACACACAACAACATAACTTGTGGTTTTCAATTCAAACGAAAAATAGAGACAAACAACCAAAAAATTCTGGCTAAACCTTACTTGCCCCACAAAAATTCTTTGCTTTTAGCAACTTTTTCCTACCAATCATTATCATCATCCATTCAATCCACCACCCTTCCAAACCAAGATATGGCAGGTAACACTTGCCATACAGAATACAAAACATCAAAATTCATCGTTGATGTCGGTTTTACAAAGTTTGTTCCTCTTATTGGTGAATTGTAGAAGCAAGCTTGAATTTTGAGCGTTCGTATGGATTGAAATTTGAAATAAAAGATCTGGTGCGTCTTTTTCATCTTTAGTTATATGGGTTTATAGGAGTTTAATTATTAGGGTTTTTTCTTGAAGGGTTTGTGTTTTGAACTAGTATTTCTATAGACATTATTTAATGAAGTGCTAGATTGATTTACAAGATGGCAACTTCATTAGGCACATTTGTGCAAAATGCACCTAGAATTGCCAGCATAAGCAACTATGAGTTTGAAAAACTTGGCGAGGAAATGCACATTCATAATGTTTTGGAGCTTTCACAAGAATTGCCTATTTCAAATATGAGTGATAAAGATGGTAAATTCAAGATACAAAACTTGAAGGTTGACGCCGCCGAACAAATTGATAGGTTATCTGTCAATGCTGGACAAATTATGCAGACACCTACTTCTAGAACTGTTGGTTTTCAAGTACGAGCATCGGCGGCTTCTCGTGTTAATCGTTTTGGTGGAGTTGGATATTCGCCTGAGGGAGTATCCGAGTCTCATGTTAAAAAGCGACTTTTGTCATCTTTGAATGTGACACACGATCGCCTTGGCGTGGGAAGTGAGATTTATCGAATATGTTCTGAGTCTTGCAATGATAGCTATAATGCTCTACATGAGTATAAGAAGCTTCATATTGGAAGCTACGCCAAATCATCAACTGCATTTAATGATTGTGAGACAACAAAAATGAAGTCACAAACAGAAGCAATGTTTAGACCTCAAGAAAAGACGTCATCACCTCGCTTCCCTTTATCTCCCTTGGGTAAAAAATCTTGCACAAATGAAAAAATGGGAGAATGCCGAGATTTTGATACTGTGTTGAGCAATGCCAATCTGTTAACTGCTGATAATATCATTGATATGAACGAGTATTGGACTTATCCTGCTAGCTTTCCTCCTCGGCATGGGAAGTTACGTAGACCGGTGAAGAGGCTGCCAATTAGAAGGTCACTAGTTGGTTCGTTCGAGGAGTCGATATTATCTGGTCGTTTACTGTCTGAGAAAGTTAGTCAGGTTGGCTTAATTCTCATAATGGAACATCACTCCAATATCGTAGATAGTATAAACGACTAACTTTACAATATTGCAGAAAATTGAAGGCTTTCTTGCTATGCTGAATGTAACCGGAGGAAATTTCTCGCCTCAATCACGAAAAATTCCATTTGCAGTAACGAGTGTAGACGGAGACAAATACCTACTTTATTATTCTTCAATTAATCTATCGGGAAAGATATTTTCAAGCAAGTCTCGAGTAACTAAATGCCAGAGAACACTTGGCACGAATGAATCACGATATGAAAAGAGACGTATTCGTATACCTATAAAAGGGCGAATTCAACTGGTACTATATACTAGAAGACCTTTAAAATTGTTGAGTTGAGAATATCTTTTTCCCTTTATGTCTATAAAACGGCATATTCAACTGCAGGTTCTCAGCAATCCAGAGAGAACACCGATTCACACCTTCTTCTGCAATTATGATTTAAGCGACATGCCAGCTGATACCAAGGTACGATTGAATGAATATAATCACATTCAATATTTCCTCACGTTTGATTATTTCTATCCTCAATCTCGCTTAATAAAGAGGCTGAATTTCTGCACAAGGTATGTTCATATATTTAGCTTCAAATATACATGAAAGAGACCCAAACTATACGATTTTCTTCATAGACCACTTCTTATAAAATAGTATAGTATTGGCATTTAAGCATCACTTCTTACAAGCTTGTGTTTAATGTGCTTTGCTTGTATATATCTAAGTAGACATTCTTGCGGCAAAAGATCACTTTAGCCTCGTCTAGATCGATGTCTACGACTGGAAAAGAAATTCAAATAGATTCTGATACTGATGCTAAGTCCTCAAGCAGATGCCTTGTTGACGAAGACACATTTCTTAACGGTTCTACAAAGATCAACGACAATTCTACTAACAATTGCGTCTTGCTTTATGCTCTTCATCTTCGCTTTATGTGCACCTTGCCTAAGAAACGTACGAGATCTGTTCCTACACACAAATCCGACCCTGTTTCTTCAGAAGCAAGAAAACTTGTAGACAACGAAGACGAAAGAAGTTTCTATATGTATGATGATATGAGAGTCGTGTTTCCTCAGCGTCACTCAGATTCTGATGAGGGCAAGGTATGTAAATGCTTACATGATGAATTGGTTTTAATGCATTCATAGATTAGTTAAGCTTTGTAAATTGGTTACCTAATGATTATTTCATGTTGCAGTTGCATGTAGAATATCATTTCCCATCTAATCCAAAATACTTTGACATCAGCAGCTAAAATGTCAATGGATCTCTCTATCAATGGGTTTTGTACATATAATTGTAAATATTGTATGTATATAATTCAATTTTTTTCTTCGAAATTTTGGGGCCAACTGCCTCTATTTTAAGTTATAATTTGTATATTATATAGTTGTAGTCCGAATTCAAATTCTAGTTAAAACAAGTTTTGTGTTGAGGTAAAATGCACTAGAAGCACATAATGGAATATAATCTTTTTTCATTATTGTGTAGAGTTAACTTTCTCATTACAAACAAAAGAGGAAGCAGTGGTTAATATTAGCTCAAGCTCTTAGAAAAGGAGAAAATACAGTTACAATCCTCTAAATGTGTAATAAACAATTAACAGAAAAAAATAAAATGGGCCTATAAGCTAAGACCAATAACTAGAAAGGCCCAATACACTTAACACTCCCTCCCTCAAGGTGGATTGTGTATGTTACAAAGTCTCAACTTGGAAAGACTAGAAAGTAAAGGTTTTGTGAACATATCTGTTAATTGATTGTTGCTAGAGATAGCCAATAGATGAAGAAGTTTATAGTGGATTTTCTCACGAATCACATGAAAATCCAATTCAATATGCTTTGTTCTTTCATGGAATGTCTGATTTTTAGCTAACTAGATAGCAGATTGGCTATCACAATAAACAGAAGCGGAAAAAGAAAAATGAATTTGAAAGTTTGTGAATAGAGGTTGTAGCCATTGTAGCTCACAGGTGAGTGATGCAAGAGATATATATTCTGCCTTTGTAGAAGATCTAGAAACAGTATGCTGCTTTTTGGACTTCCAGCATATCAAAGAAGAACCTAGAATCATACAAAATCCTATAACAGAATATCTTGTGTCAAGGCATCTAGCCTAGTTAGAATCTGCAAAAGCAAGGAGTTTGAGAGCACTTGTAGCTTTGGTTAGCCATTTGTCATCCTTCAAGTATGTAGAAGTGGATGGTGAGATCCACGAAACACTCTGCCAGGCATTTGAAACAGTTCAGATTCAGGGGAAGTCTCTTGTAGAAGCCAAAGGCCCGGAGGTTTCGATGTCTTCTCTCAAGGAAGCCCGTACTATTGTAGAATCTCGTCTCAGAAGTGGGGTTAAGTTCTCGATGTTCCTATCAAGCAGGACAAGTTCGGCCTGGGATACAAACCCTCCAGTTCTTCTCAGATTCCGAGATACAGGGGACCTGTTCAGTTCACCAGCAGTGGTGTGATATTCCACAGGATTAATGTCGTTGAAGACGATGAAGGTGACAGTGACTGCGACATGGACGCCTGGATTCGTCCATGTACTCCCGACCAGAAGTTGTGCAACTGGACTACCGAAGAAGTCATTCATGTTATTGCTGCAGAGTAATGTTCATTATTTTGATTATGTTCAGTTCTGCATTCTGCCCAAGACGTAGCGACCCATTTGTGGGGCCTTCTTGTTATTTATTGTTTATCATTAATAAAAGACGTTTCGCATTCAAATATTGTGATCCCTGTTTTTCTTGTTTTTGTTTTGCATTTATACTTAACAGAAAAATGGCAATGTGTTTTGTTTGTTGCATCGCATAATAAACATAACATCCTCATGCAGGTCTTTTCTATCAGATGCCATCGATTCAGGTTCAGCTATGACTTCGTATGACTTTGATAATCCCATTTATCAAGCTGAATATGAGACTGACGAAGACTGTGAACTACCCGAAAAGTTAGCCAGGCTTCTCAAACAAGAGGAAAGGGTCATTGTGCCTCATCAAGAGGATATTGAGATTATCAATCTGGGTACCGAGGATGACAAGAAAGAGGTCAAAGTGGGGTCTGCATTGGAAGACAGTGTCAAGAGAAGATTGGTTGAAATGCTCTGTGAGTATAAGGATATCTTCGCTTGGTCTTACCAAGACATGCCTGGGCTGGATACAGATATTGTGGTACACCGGCTACCTCTCAAAGAAGAATGCTCGCCAGTCAAGCAGAAGTTGAGACGGACAAAGCCTGACATGGCAGTCAAGATCAAAGAAAAAGTTCAAAAGCAGTTGAACGTTGGGTTTCTTGCTGTCACGAATTACCCTCCGTGGGTCGCTAATATTGTTTCTGTACCTAAGAAGGATGGAAAGGTCAGGATGTGCATCGAATATCGAGATCTTAACAAAGCGAGCCCGAAAGACGATTTCCCGCTCCCTCATATCGATGTGTTGGTTGATAACACCGCTCAGTATTCTGTGTTTTCGTTCATGGATGACTTCTCTGGGTATAACCAAATCAAAATGGCCCTAGAGGACATGGAGAAAACTACTTTCATCACACCATGGGGAACTTTTTGCTATAAGGTGATGCCCTTTGGATTGAAAAATGCAGGGGCGACTTATCAGCGGGCGATGGTCACTTTGTTTCATGATATGATTCATCATGAGGTTGAAGTATATGTTGATGACATGATAGCAAAGTCACATACGGAGGAGGGACATCTGGTCGATCTTCTGAAATTGTTTGAAAGGCTGAAGAAGTTCAAGCTGAGGCTGAATCCTAACAAGTGCACCTTCGGGGTGAGATCTGGAAAGTTATTGGGTTTCATTGTCAGTGAAAAGGGTATTGAGGTAGATCCTGCCAAAATAAAAGTTATACAAGAAATGCCTGAGCCGAGAACGAAAAAAGAGGTTTGTGGTTTCCTGGGGAGATTAAACTACATTGCAAGGTTTATATCTCATCTTACAGCCACTTGTGAACCAATATTCAAATTGCTGAAAAAAGATCAAACGGACAAGTGGAATGAAAATTGTCAGAAAGCATTCGAAAGAATAAAAGAATATTTACATGAACCTCCAATACTCATGCCTCCAGTTGCAGGGAGACCACTGATCATGTACCTTACGGTTCTTGAAAACTCAATGGGATGTGTGCTCGGTCAACAAGACGAGTCAGGCAGAAAAGAGAATGCCATCTACTACCTGAGTAAGAAATTCACTGATTGTGAGTCGAGGTACTCGATGCTGGAAAAAACATGTTATGCCCTCGCCTGGGTCGCAAAGCGTTTGAGACAGTACATGATAAACCACACTACCCTATTGATTTCGAAGATGGATCCAATCAAATATGTCTTTGAAAAACAAGCACTCTTCAGAAGGATTGCTCGTTGGAAAATGGTGTTAACAGAGTATGATATTCAGTACGTTTCCCAGAAAGCCATTAAGGGAAGCATTTTGTCGGAATATCTCGCGGAACTGCCGATTGAGGATTATCAGCCGATGAAGTTTGACTTCCCAGATGAAGATATCATGTTTCTGAGAATGAAAGACTGTGATGAGCCTTTACCTGACGAGGGTCCTGAGAGAGGATCTCAGTGGAAATTGGTTTTCGACGGAGCGGTTAATTCATATGGTAATGGAATCGGCGCGGTCATTACTACTCCTCACGGTTCTCATATACCGTTCACCACCCGATTGACATTCGCCTGCACCAATAATGAAGTCGAGTATGAAGCTTGCATTATGGGTTTAGAAGAGGTCGTTGATATGAGGATTAAGAATCTGGATGTATACGGTGACTCAGCGTTAGTCGTTAACCAAATCAAAGGAGAATGGGAAACTCGTCAGGCCAACCTGGTGCCTTATAGAGATTATGCAAGGAGACTGCTGCCTTTCTTCGATAGAGTTGATTTCCATCATATGCCGAGGGCTGAGAATCAGATGGCAGATGCCTTGGCCACGCTAGCTTCGATGTATAAAGTGAATTTCTGGAATGAAACTCCTGCTATCACCATCATACGTCTTGATAGACCTACTTTTGTGTTTGTCATTGAGAAAGCATCTGATGGAAAGCCTTGGTATTTCGATATTAAGCATTTTCTCAAGACTCAGGAGTACCCATCTAGGGCATCCAGCAAGGATAAGAAGACTCTTAGGAGGTTAGCTGGTAATTTTTATCTGAATAAGGACGATGTGCTCTACAGAAGAAATTTCGACATGGTTTTGCTGCGTTGTGTTGATGAACTTGAAGCAAACCTGTTGATGGAGGAAGTCCACTAAGGTTCTTTCGGCACTCATGCCAGTGGGCATGCAATGGCTAGAAAATTGTTGAGAGCTGGGTATTATTGGATGACTATGCAATCCGATTGTTTCAAATACGCTAGAAAATATCATAAATGCAAGATTTATGCGGATAAGGTGCATGTGCCACCATCTCCTCTGAATGTGCTAACATCTCCTTGGTCTTTTGCCATGTGGGGAATTGATGTGATTGGAAAGATTGAGCCGACTGCTTCTAATGGACATCGCTTCATTCTGGTCGCGATTGATTACTTTACGAAGTGGGTAGAAGCAGCGTCTTACGCCAATGTCACGAAGTAGGTGGTAGCCCGATTCATAAAGAAGGACATCATTTGTTGTTATGGTATTCCTGAAAGAATCATTACTGATAATGGTTCAAATTTGAATAACAAAATGATGAAGGAATTGTTCAGAGTTTCAAGATCGAACATAACAATTCTTCTCCATATCGTCCGAAGATGAATGGTGTTGTTGAGGCAGCTAATAAGAATATCAAGAAGATTGTGCAGAAGATGGTTGTGACCTACAAGGACTGGCACGAGATGTTGCCTTTTGCTCTTCACGGTTATCGTACTTCGGTGCGTACATCAACCGGGGCAACTCCTTTCTCACTGGTGTACGGTACGGAAGTTGTCCTGCCATTAGAAGTTGAGATTCCTTCTTTAAGGGTATTGTCGGATGTGAAGCTTGACGAAGATGAATGGGTGCGAACCAGGTTAAATCAGCTAAGCTTGATTGATGAAAAGAGATTAGCAGCCATTGCGCATGGCTGGTTGTACCAGAGTAGGATAAAGAAAGCCTTTGATCAGAAAGTGCTTCCAGACGGGTGATTTGGTGTTGAAAAGGATCCTTCCTCCTCAGACAGATCACAGGGGAAAATAGACTCCTAACTATGAAGGTCCGTATGTGGTAAGAAAGGTTTTCTCTGGCAGAGCCTTATTACTATCTACTATGGATGGTGAAGATTTTTCGTC